TTTATTCTTAGCTCCGATAACACATTAGCTCTCTAAATGACTTTGTACAAGTCACTTTACTTCTTAAGAGCTCTGCCAGCTTTGGTAGCTTGGTTAACAAATTAAGAATCTTTCAGGACCAGCAGTTAGCGTAATGGCTATGTCGCTGGACTCCCATGTAGTCGACCGCAGTTCGTATTTCAGACCTGGTGGCTTAAAACTCACGCCGGGCGCGTGTGCTTGCGTGCCCAAGATCCCAAGAGAACAGGAGAAGTGATCACAGTGTGGCCATCCCCCCTGGGGGGTGATTTCTTGCTTTCTGTCTCTGTCTCTCTCTGGTGAGCGCACGCGCCCTATAGCAAAACAAAACAAAAACCAAACAAAGAAAAACAACTCTCCAAAAAAAAAAAAAAAAACACCAAACAAATTAAGAATCTTTCAAATGTAGGGGCCAGCAGGTGGTATAGTGGTTAAAGGGCTGGACTAGCACATGGCTGACCATAATGTGAGTTCTGGATCCAGTGGCTTGAAACCCTTGTGGGGGTGTGTGTGCGCCTATGTAACTGATCCTAGAGGAGAATGGAGAAGAGGTTGTGGTGTGACTATCTCCCATGAAGGGTACTTTCTCACTTTCTCTCAGGTGAACGCACATGCCCTATAGCAAAAATATCTCAAAAGAATCTTTCAAATGGTGTCTACAAAGTTCCAGACAATGTGGCTTAAAAAAAAAAAACAATTTTATTTATTATTATTATTATTTGTTATTTTTTAATTTGACGAGAGAGAGAAAATGAAGAAAGTGAGCAACCAGGTCTGAGATTCAGACCATGGTTGGCCATGTGGGAGTCCAGTGCCTTTAACTACCATGTCACCTGCTGGCCTCTAAAAATGTCTAATTTTTTTTTTTTTGTGGGGGGGATAGGTTTTTGCTACAGGGGGTGTGTACTCTCCCGAAAGACACAGAGAGGCAGACACCCCCCGGGGGGATGGCCATGCCGCAATCCCTTCTCCATCCTCCTCTTGGGATCTTGGGCATGTGCACTCGCGCCCGGCGTGAGTTTAAGCCACTGGGTCCAGGACTCGAACCGTGGTTGACTACATGGGAGTTCAGCGACATAGCCATTATGCTAACTGCTGGTCCCAAAAATGTCTAATATTTTCTAAGAGGTATTTAGTTCCCAGATGAACATCAGTATGAAGACTGGAGCTACAAACCTCTCTACTTAAAGCTTCATTGTGTTGAATTTGTCATGGTAATCAGAAGCTGTTATAGGATGCTGCTGGCTTTAGGGTACCTGCTTTTCTATTTGAGGGAGATGAGAAAGTGTACTCGGTGTGATATGTGTTGTGTTTTCAGTACTGAGTGTTGAGGGTCTTGATACTGAATAGAAATCCAAAGGTTTTTCCCTTCATTTGGTTATCAAGAAGTTAACTCATTCATTCATTCATTCATTCAGTCAGTCAGTCAGTCAACAAATATTTGAGTATCAGGCACGGGTCTAATGCTGGGCGTATGTGGTATAATGGGGAATAAGAAGTCTTTCCCTTGTAGAATAGGTATTTGCTGGGGACGGGAAGGTCAGAAGATGAACCAAAAAACAGGATATCAAATGATGGTAAGTATGTGGAAAAATGACATGGGATCATGGTATAGTTGCAGTAGGGGCTTTCTTAGGTCGTGTGGCCAATGAAAGACCTGAAGAATATTCCAGTGTGAATGAGTTTGGGACAAGGCCAGTGTGCCTTGAACGTAAAGAGCAGGGGAGGTGGTAGTTTAACGGGCTGGGAGATTTTGGCAAGAGCCAGGTTGGATTGGGTCTCATAGTACAGGGAGAGGAGTATGAATGCTTTTCCCCCAGTTAAAAATTTTTTTTTTGGGGGGGGAACCAGCAGTTAGCGTAATGGCTATGTCTCTGACTCTCATGTAGTTGACTGCAGTTCGAGTCCCAGACCTGGTGACTTAAAACTCACGCCGGGCGCGTGTGCATGCGTGCCCAAGATCCCGAGAGGAGAATGGAGGAGAAGGGATTGCGGTGTGGCCATATCCCCTTGGGGGTGATTTCTCACTTTCTGTCTCTCTCTTTCTGGTGAGCGTATGTGCCCTATAGCTAAAACCTCTCCCCCCCCAAAAAAAAAGTTTTTTAAATTTTTAAGTGAGATTTTTGCTATAGGGTGCATGTGCCTGCCAGAGAGATGGAGATAGACAGAAATGGAGAATTATCCCCTAGTGGGGATGGCCACACCACAATCCTTCTCCAGTCTCCTCGGGATTTTGGGCATGCACACCCACGTGCCCAGCATGTTTCAGGCTGCCAGGTCCAGGACTAGAACTGTGGTCAACCATGTTGGATTTCAATGATGTAACTACTGCACCATCTGCTGGTCCTCAAAATGTGGAGGGCAAGTTCTGTGGCCTGGTAGATAAGGCGGCTGGATTCCACATGGCCGACTACATGGTTGGAATCCTGGATCTGCAACTTGAGAAACATGCTGGGTGCATGTGTGTGTATCCCAAATCCTGAAAAAATGGAGAGATGGTGGCATTACCATTCCCCATTGGGGTTACTTTCTCCTTTCCCTCTCTCTGGCACATGCCCTCTAGTAAAAGCAAGCTGGGGAATGATATAATGTGGTTCATTCCATTGGACAAGTTTGTGGATGGAAATGTAACTAGGTCTAGTGAGCTTTCAGAAGTTAAATCAAGTAATTAGGTGTTTAGGAACATAAGAAAGTCAGTGGTCTTGATAATCTGCACACAGCCTTGAAGAGTCATCCTGTGATGACAGGAGGGGACTTCAAAAAGGTTTGTGAACAAATGGAATTAAAATAAGTTCATCCCCAGGACTACCATGACATTAAAAATCTGTAAGATCAAAGATGAGAGGCTCACACTGTATGTGTTTTTTTTTTTTTTTTTGCTATAGGATGTGGTGCTTCTGTCACCCCCATGGGTGGATGATATCACTCCCCATGGGATGGCCACACCACAATCCCTTCTCCATTCTTTTGTGATCTTGGGCACTCATACACATGTGCCCAGTGTGAGTTCTTTATTTTATTTAGAGGTTTTTGCCTGAGGGTGCTTGTGCTTATAGGCAGGAGGAGGGGAGGACAGATGAGAGGGAAAGTGTGAAATCATGGGCGGGGGGGGGGCCAAGCCACAGTCCTTTCTCCATTTTTCTCAGATCTTGGGCATGCATGCACACATATCTGATGTGATTTTCAAGCTACCAGATCCAGGACTCAAACTGCAGTTGGCCATGTAGGAGTCCAGTCCAGTGTGCCTCAATCACCAGGCTACTTAGTGGCTCCACACCATGTTTTCCTTGTCTTCATACCAGTTGTGATCACCTCCAAATTCTGGCTTCCTTCAAAGGGCACATATGGCTGACTCTTAACAGGGATTTTTTTTTTTTTTTTTTTTTTTTTGCTATGGGATTTGTGTACTCGCCCTGGGGTTGGGTGGGGTAGAGAAGAGAAAGTACCCCCCCGGGGAGGATGACCATGCAGCAATCCCTTAGAATTTTTGGGCAAATAAGCTTGGCATGTTTTTCAAGCTGTTGGTTCTGAACCATACAGCCTTGTAGGATCCAGCTGCCTTAACTGTCATGCTTTTGTGGCCCTGCAATTGGTTTTCTTTTATCACTGATCCCGTGATCTTTACTCAGTCTCAAGAGGTGTATCAAGATCTAAACACAATGAAATGGACCAAGATTTAGTGACCACTCACTGCATCTGTAAGTGTAGGTCTTTTTTCACCCTAGAACAAGTTCTAGACCAGTTTTCTACCACTGGGCTCCTTTTCCCAGAGATCTGGACTTCAGCTTTTCTTATGAAACACTCTCTCTACTTTTCTCTTTATGTCTGCTTTGGATGATGTATGTTCTATATACTTGAGTCATCGCTACTGCTGATAATCTCTTTCCTCAAACAGTTCACTACTTTTAACCTGTTGTTTTTCTTCTATCCAGCACCCCTTCCCCTCCTTTTAACTTCCTCTTTGAAAGCTGCTTTGCAAATGGTGTTGACTACAGTTGCTTGCTCAATGAATATGGGATTATGCGAAGCAACCCAAGGATGAGAAAGAAAATTTGGTGAGGGAGTTGGACCCTCTGGAGAATGTTATTTTAATTGTATTGTTTTTAGCTGGTTGTGACTAGGCTCTTCCCTCCAAATTTAAGGGGTTTAAGCATACAGCTGTGGTAGATGGCGCCCAATAAAATAAAATAAAACAAAACAAAAGTTGCAGCTCCAGTTTTTTTCTCATGGCGGGGTGGGGGTGGGTATATTTTCAGTCTTCATGGTTACACAGAAATTTCTTCATCTTGGACCGTGAGAAGCTGATGCCTAGTGCCTTCTGAATAGTGCAGTCTCGAGCCAGTCTTTACTGCTCAAGGCCATTACTGTTGGACCCTTTGGCGCTGGCCCATTGACAGTTTTCAGAGTTCTTTTCGCCACCTATTAAAGTAGTTTTTATTTTGGGGGAGCTCCTGGACTCCTAATGGTGTGGGCTGCTGGCTGAAGAGGGTTGATTTTCTCTAGTGGGCGACTTCGCTGTTTTTCTTACCTGGCGTCCGTTGTCTGCGAAAGCTATTGTTCACAGGACCCTGGCTGCGAGGGGGGTGACGTTTGGGAGGGAATAATTTTGTGATAGTGTAAGGTGGAATACTGTGAGGGTATGCATGTGGAAATGGCGAAATGTTGAGGCTTAGCAAAATTGGCGCCATAAAGCTAAACGCTGGCGCAACGGCGCCCTACCTCGCTCTGCTTAATGGCGGGCGGCTCCCTGCTGGCGAAGCCCACGTTTGTAGTCCCGCCCTCACGCTTACCTCTTACCCAATCAGTAGCTTCGGTTTTATTGAGGTTGGTGGTCATTGGCTTTCGCAAAACAGTCCCTGGGTTACTGACGTTTCCACCTCTTCCTGGCCTCTCAGGTAATTGGCGTTCGTGATAACCAATCAGGAAGAAGATCTGCAGGAACGCCTGCCTTTTGCTTTATTGAATGGCCAATCTGGTTGTAGGCTCACCTCCCCCATCTACCAGTCACTGCTGCGGCCGCCGCCATTTTAGCGTTTTGTCAGAAGCGTCCGCGCCGCGAGGAAGAAGCGCTGCTGAATTCTGTGCGGGTGAGCGATTCCAAGCCCTTCTACTGACCTTTTACTCTTAAGTTTTATCCCAGTCCTTTGTGCTTTGGGGTTGTGCCAGTGGGGTCACAGGTTACGCATCAGTTACTAAGAGCCAAACTTAACGCGGTAAGCCAGAAGCAGCCCCCCCCCCAGAGAATACCTTGCTTTGCCCGTTGGCCAAATTTGACTCGGCCTCCTGCTTCCAGGTTACCGTCAAGATAACCGCGATTTTCTTAGGCTTAGCAATTACAACCCCGTTTCAAAGATTACTCAGGCCCTTAGACATTGCTGTGTAGTTAACGAATTAGAAACACCCTTCCTGGCCACATTTCTCCATTCTATAGCAGGACAGTACTCGAAGAGAGGCGTTTCCCCACTCCATCACTTCCTGTTCCTTCCAAGCTTGGATGTCTATCCAAGTCGCTCGTTCACTACTTTCAACAGCAACCTAGAATGAAGCTATTACAAGGCCCACTTTTCCGGAAATGGTGGCTTTTTCGGTTACTACGAGGAAGCGTCAATTCATAATTTTAAGCAGTCAGCAAGCATAAAAATTAGACTTTTCTGTTTTCGGTGTATAGAAAAGCCTCACCTCAGCTCTTGATTTATGCTTACTTGATACACGAAGAATCTGGCAAAAGCTGTTTTAAATGATAACCTTTAGCAGCATAATCTTTTAAGCTCCCCCACCCTAACCCCCCTATCTCTTCTCAGTAAAAGTGACTGATCTTTAAAGGGTTACAATTTTTGTTGCTTTGGTATTAACATTTGTACCAGTGGGTTGCTCTCTGAGGATAAGGCCACTCTAGAATTAAAACGCTAATTTCAGGAATTTCTGGGGAGGAGGCATTGGGATTTTGATACCTTAATCTCCATTCCTATTTGAAGGTATCCAGCCCTTACCATACCTTTTGTCTAAGGGTCTCCGTATTTAGTCTTTACAATCTTACAGGTTCTGGAGAGTGTTCTGTAGCAGGCCTACTTATCTCACTCCCACTTCTCTTTGTGCAAAAATGTGCCTGCGGGCATCTGAGAGAAAACTAATTGGAAATAACTTGCTTTAGTGAAAAGAGATGGCAATATTATCATACTTTTGACTAATGTGGGCCTAAGGTCTTCTGTTAGAAGTCTTGTTTCTTCCCTCTCAGGCTTGTTTTCGAGATGGTGAAGCTGTTCATTGGAAACCTGCCCAGGGAGGCCACAGAACAGGAGATCCGCTCACTCTTTGAGCAGTATGGAAAAGTGCTTGAATGTGACATCATTAAGAACTATGGCTTTGTGCACATAGAAGACAAAACTGCAGCTGAGGATGCCATACGCAACCTGCATCACTACAAGCTGCACGGAGTGAACATCAATGTGGAAGCTAGCAAGAATAAGAGCAAAACCTCGACAAAGTTGCACGTGGGCAACATCAGTCCCACCTGTACCAACAAAGAGCTTCGTGCCAAGTTTGAGGAGTATGGTCCAGTTATTGAATGTGACATCGTGAAAGATTATGCCTTCGTACATATGGAGCGGGCAGAGGATGCAGTGGAGGCCATCAGGGGCCTTGATAACACAGAGTTTCAAGGTGAATCACCTTCATTAGATAGAGGGCTGAACACTAGGCTATGTGTAGAAAATAGATGGATAAGTAAAAGGAGTTTGGGGTAGAGATACTGTTGTTGGCTGGCCCATAGTGAAGGATTTAGTATGGGTGATGAACTTCTTAAAAGGGAGACTGCATGGGATTTAGGGGCTTTACCTTAGACACATCAAGTCTTGGAGAGGAAAAAAAACACTTTGATTTGGAGCCCTTAGGGCTACAGTGCAGAAATCCTTTCCTCCGAAGACTTCAAACTATGTTTTGTTTTTGTTTTTGTTTTGTGTTTTTTTCCCCCATTTTTCTTTATCTTTTTTGTTTCTTTCCTTTAAATTTTTTTTTCTTATTAGAGCACATTGCAAAATGCTTCACTGAATTTATGGCCTTAGGGCAGTATCAGCATTACTGCATAATTCGATACACGAAGAATCTGGCAAAAGCTGTTTTAAGTGATAACCTGGCAGCATAATCTGTTCAACTCCCCTACCTTAACCTCCTAACTCTTAACTTCTCAGTAAATGTGACTGGTCTTTAAAACATTACAATTTTTGTTCCTTTGGCATTACATTTGTACCGGGGGCTGCTCTTTGAGGATAAGGCTACTCTAGAATTAAGTTGATTTCAGGAATTTCTGGGGAGGAGGGATTTTGGGGGCCAGTAGCATGTCCTTTTTACTGGTTTGGGGGTGGACTTTAACATCCCTTGGTTTTTATACCTGGAGGGCAGGATGGGTGATGATTTTGATTGTAACTGTTTTTCAGAAGGTGTCTTGTTAAAGTCTAAATTCCTGTGACAGTTAGGAGCTGGTAACCATGGTGAGTTGCCAGCTGAACTCTCTTCTTCCACCCTTTTGAATCCCCAGTGTCATAAAGAGCCTTTTCCCTTTGGTTGTAATTAACTTCCAAATTATTGGGTATTCCCACAACTCCTTGCTGCATTTCAGAGCTATGTTCTGACCATGTGAGCATGAACAAGGTAGTGGCTGATTTTTTTTCCCTGGGTGAACTCTCTCTTTTTGAGAGTCATTGCTGCTATCTTTGGTGTTTATTTCCTTTAAATTGGGACTTACAGGTCCAATCATCATTCTCTCATGTAATAAGTGCCCTGTGTCACAGGCATTGCTATGCATTATTAAGGTCTCAGATCTCTTGGGTCTGGTTTGCTTTCGTTTTTTAATTGGTGAGTTGAGAGTTATTTTGTCAACAACTTAATTGAGAGCAAAAACTGCTCTTGTTGAGAGTTTGTAGTGTGATACCTATTTTTTGGACACACTTGCACATTTAAACCCAAACCCATTCCTAAGAAGTGATGTCTCCTTGTAGCTGTTACTTGTGTAAGGGTATGATTATGTAGTCTTGAGTCAGGACAAATGAGCCTTACAATGTAACATAATTCTGGGCATCTAACCTCTAAATACATTGATGCTATGCTAACCTATGCCTATTTATTTTTGCCCTATTTTAGTTTTTATTTAATTTTTGGGGGGGCGTGTGTGTGTGGCTATAAGATGTGTGTGCTCACCAGAGAGTGTGAGAGGGAAAGTGAGAAATCCTTCCCTCTGGGGGGATGGCCATGCTGCAGTACATTCTCCTAGTGGGATCTTAGGCACACGTGTGCATGTGCCCTGTATGATTTTTCAGGCCGTCAGGTCTGGAACTTGAACCATACTGTCAGCCATGTAGGAGCCAGCTTGCTTAACCTCCACACCACCTCTGGCCCATGAGTAGTGGTTTTTATTAGGGTAGTTGCTTTGCTCTTAGTTTCTCAGTGTTGGGTATATTCCCTACATTTTTTTGCCCACTTAAAATCAAATAGATAACTACAAAGATTGAGTTTTTTTTACCTGCTTTAGTATTAAGAGAACCTTAGATTAGGGCATTAATTAATGACATTTATGTCTTGAATGAGAACAATTTGTTTCTTGGTTGTACTTGTTTTTTTCTGGTTTTGTTAGGTGCCATAATGGCCCCCCTGGCAGATGCCAGAAACATAGACTAGTACTTTAAGACACTTAAGTACTTAATTGCATATCTTAGCTCTTTTGATAACCTGCAACTAGAATTTACCAGATAAAATCTTTGTTTTTGGAGAGGTTTTTGTTACAGGGTGCATGCGCTAGCCAGAGAGACAAAGTGAGAAATCACCCCCGCGGGGGACAGCCACACTGCAATCTCTTCTCCTCCATTCTCCTCTTGGGATTTTGGGCACACATGCACATGTGCCCAGCGTGAGTTTAAGCCACCGGATCCGGGACTCGAACCGCGGTCAACTACATGGGATCCCAGCAACATAGCCATTATGCTAACTGCTGGTCCCACCAGATATAATCTTTAAACTGGGACCTTTTTGGGTTTTGGGGGTTTTTTTTGTTTGTTTTTTTTTTTTGGTCTTTTCAGTCCACTTCTTCCCTCACCATTGTATTCTCTAGTTTCCCAAAACCTAACTTTATAGGTAAAATTTCCACTTTCTCTAATTCATTTGTTGACATCCCTTGAGTCTTAACCATTCACTTCTTGGATAACTATGTTTGGAAGGATCATAACCAGTTGAATTGGAAGATTTTTTTTTTTCTAGATTTGAATCCCTTCTGAAATTTGCTTACAGTAAACCATTTGTGACTTAGGTAGATTCTGCTTCTGTGAAGAAACGTAAAACTTCCCAAAAGGTTTTTCCTTTTTTGGGGAGGGGAGTGTTTCGGTTATTCAGAAGTTTGTTTTGTTTTGTTTATAGACAGTCTTGAAATGTTACAATCCTCCTTCCTAAAACCCCCAGCTGGTGCTGCAAATGTGTGCCACCTTGTCCAGCTCTTTTTAGATTTTTTTCTTTCTTCCAAGAGGTTTTTGCTATAGGGTGCGTGTGCTTGCCAGAAAGACAGAGACAGAAAGCAAGAAATCACCCCTAACCCTCGGGAGGTTGAGATGACCACATCACAATCCCTTCTTCTTCATTCTCCTCTTGGGATCTTGGGCATACGTGCACACGTGCCCAATGTGAGTTTAAGCCACCAGGTCTGGGACTCGAACCACGGTAGACTACGTGGGAGTTCATCAGCATAGCCATTATGCCAACTGCTGGTCCCTCTCTAAGATTTTTAAGGTACAGTCTCAGTTGTTGACAGTCCACCTTGAGTTCATGATCCTCTGTCTCGGCCTCCCTGTGTCTCTGAGATTACAGGTGCACCCTACCATACCCAGCCTTTAGGTTGGACTGGAATCAAATCCAGGGCTACCATGTGGTCCAAGCCTGGCAGAGCACATAAACATACATGCATAAACATGTTTTTATATTATTCTGATTATTCTCTACCTTCATTCCTCTTTTTTGTTCCAATATTTTTTAACAGTCTTTCTAAAAATTGAGACACTTTGTGAATAGCGTGTCCTGTTTTCCTTGAGCCCTTCAGAGGGATTGGGCAAACATCACTAAAATTAGCTGTCAGCTTTTAAAGGTCCTTGTTAAAGAGTGATTGTTAGAACCAGCAATTTAAAGGATCCAGTTTGATGAAGAAGGCCGGTCTTCAACGTTTTTTGTGTTTCCCAGCCTTTCCTATTCATGGAATCTACCTTGAAACTTGCTATCATACTCAACATGGATCAAACCTAGATCATTCTTTAGTGGCGGTACTTAAGTTTTTGTTTTTAAGAATTATTTAACTTAATTTTTAAATTTGACCTTAGAGGTAATTAGCAAGAGGGAAAGTGAGACAGCAAGCCACTAGGTCTGGGACTTGAAATGTGGTAAACCACGTGGGAGTCAAGCACCCTTAACACCACACCACCTGCTGGCCCTGGCAGTAACTTTAGTTTTTACTTGCATTCTCTTGGGTTTTATATTCTTAGAATATAAAAACTAGCCTTTATATTCTTTGACTTAATGAAATTAGTCTTGATAGTCAAGATTGGAGGTATTAGAAACTTGTTTGGGATTGACATTGGGCCACTGTTTGTAGTAGATTTTTGCCCACAGTTGCCTTGGCAAAAGATGAAATGCTTTTTTTTTTTTTTTTTTCGATCAAAGATAGTTTCTTAATGCATTAAACTAGTGTTATAGCTGAAGCATTTTTTCATCTAATCTTTGCCTGAAATCAGGTCATTATACTGAATCTCTTGTTTGGCCTTATTATTGTTTTTTTGTTTGTTTGTTTGTTTTTTTAAAATTTTTTTCCTCCCCTAATCTGGAAGCAGTTGAGTCCTGCATCAAGAGTTGTCTAGGGAAAGCCAATGCTGTGACCAGTGTCTGGGGTAGGGGCTGGGACTATGACTAAGAGTGATAGCAATCCTTCTTGCGTCTGTTTCTTCAAGGCAAACGAATGCACGTGCAGTTGTCCACCAGCCGGCTTAGGACTGCGCCCGGGATGGGAGACCAGAGCGGCTGCTATCGGTGCGGGAAAGAGGGGCACTGGTCCAAAGAGTGTCCAATAGATCGTTCGGGCCGCGTGGCAGACTTGACCGAGCAATATAATGAGCAATATGGAGCAGTGCGTACGCCTTACACCATGAGCTATGGGGATTCATTGTATTACAACAACGCATACGGAGCGCTCGATGCCTACTACAAGCGCTGCCGTGCTGCCCGGTCCTATGACGCAGCGGCGGCCGTGGTCCTAGGAGGCAGGGGCGTGTCTACCTGCCGCTGCATATAATTATGCAGAGCAGACCCTGTCCCAGCTGCCACAAGTCCAGAACACAGCCATGACCAGTCACCACCTCACCTCCACCTCTCTCGATCCCTACGATAGACACCTGTTGCCGACCTCAGGAGCCGCTGCTGCTGCTGCAGCAGCCGCTGCTGCTGGTACTGCAGCTTCCTCTTCATATTACGGGCGGGATCGGAGCCCCCTGCGTCGCGCTACAGCCCCCGTCCCTACTGTTGGAGAGGGCTACGGTTACGGGCATGAGAGTGAGTTGTCCCAAGCTTCAGCAGCCGCGCGGAATTCCCTGTACGACATGGCCCGGTATGAGCGGGAGCAGTATGCGGATCGGGCGCGGTACTCAGCCTTTTAAAGCTTGAGGTGAGAGCGGTGGGGTGTCCTCTGTTCTGGTTTTGCCATCTCTCCTGCAGCCTAAAGGGCTCAGTTAGGCTGCCCTGCTTGCTTGCTTGCTTTCGCAGGGTTAGGATAAGGTTACTAGCATGGTTCAGAGGCTAGGAAGAAGTTCTCATTGCTTACCTTTGAAAATTGTAAAAGTCACTGACCCTCATGGCTATTTTTTTTTTTAAGTCTCCTGGTAGTAGGAGTCAATCTGATTTTGCTCATATTTGTGCCTAGTAAAACAAAGAATGGTGTGCTATTGTAACTTGGATCACACCTATGTGTTACTGAACTGAACATGGGACCTAGAATTCAGACTCAGGTGTGCTGGTTCTCAGAGCCTTTGTTGAGTTTTCTAGATGTGCAACCTAATTAAGGTGTTAAGGGTTTCTGTTTTGTTCTGCTTTGTTTTGTGTGGAAGGTCTGATATGACCTCTAATCATAAAGTTTTACAACTGTAGTTAACTGGTCATCACTGCGCAGGTCCAGTTACTATGAAGATTAGTCATATGACATCATCTTAATCTTGTGTGTTTCTGACATCCTGCATAGTTCATTCCCTATGAGTTTTATAAAATTTATTTGATGGTGAGTTGGAGGAGAGAAGTAGAAAACCTGTTTTCTTTTATAAAGTTCAAGGAAGCCTGACATAGACTTCCAAAATCTAATTTTTCTGCTCAGATTGATTCCTTGAAGAGTAACCACTCCATTGCTATATCTCTTCAAATCTGTTCTGTAACAGCCTAGTACTTTATTTATTTTTTAAAAACCTGATCACACAGTGCTCGGTTTGACATCCTTCACTTTTTTAGGGTATGTGGTGATGTAAGTATGCACCGCATACCTGTTAATTTTACTCTTTGGTAGTTGATATTGAAATCCAGGATGGGGAGTTTTGCCATAAGTAGAGCACTCCATCTTCCTGTCATTTGCTTTGAGCATTTAATACTCTTGAGCCATCTGTGAGTCCTCTGGCTTTTTCCTCTCCTGTACACTTGGAGCCTTATGATCTTTTGGCTCTATTTGAATATATACTCTTCTGATGCTCACCGGCTTTTTGCTCTAGGTGTTTGAGATTATAGTTAAACTAAAGTGTAGTTCCCAACACCTAGTTTTTCAGTAACCTCCTCAGTATTTCCTAGGCATTACCCTTGATTCTTAATCCTGTAGTAACAGTATAGGTGATAATCTGTCATGTTTTCAGTTAAAGCAGAAGATATGTGACTTGCCTAGGATCATTGGGTAGGAAATCGTTGACTAGGCTGGAAAAGGAACCTTGAATGCAATTTGATGTGTAGTTTATACATATCCTTCAACACCACCTCTTAAAAGTTATTTGCCTCCCTAGTTAGTGTTGCATGTCCTCAGGTCTTAGAAATTTGTTCAGTTGATGTTAACTTTTTGACCATACTTTCAATGGCTTTTGATCTTGGACTGTTGCAGACTGAAAGGTATTGTTGATATTTTTTTTTAATACAGAGAGCTAACTGGAACCTTTCCTTTTTTCCTGTCCTCCAGTTGCAGTTTGTGATATGGAATTAACCTTCTCTGAGGAATGTTGATGTTAACATCAAGAGCAACGGAATGCCTTTGCCTACACTAATGAAAGAAGATTCACTAATTTATAGAAAGGCCTTAGTCTAGGGTTATTTAGCCTCCCCATTTATTCTGGCCTTGAGTACTTTTTAACTTTTAGAGATTATGATGATACTGGGCAAAGATAAAAGTAAACTGAAAAGGAATATTATCAAATTTTAAGATTTTTAAAAAAGTTTTAAGTGGAAAAGCCCTTTTGAGCTTTGCTGTAAAGTCCCTGTATTGTGCTCTCTTTCAGGTGGGATGTGTGTGGGCTGAAATTCCAAGCTGCAGTTGTGCATGAGAATACACCCTTCGTGGTACCCCATCTCCGGGACATTCTCGGCTGTGTGCGTTGAGTCCCTCAGGAACCGTGGACCTTAATTTACCTTGCTAAGTTTGGACCCTTACCTGTCTCCTGCCCATTTTCCTGTTCATATCCTTCAATACTTCTGTAGCTTCCCATTCATGTTTTGTTTTCCCAGCAGGCCTCATTGTGTGCAGAAACTGGTGGGGGCTATAGTCTCCTTCCTGCCTCCTGCTTCCAGTGGGTGTTGGATTTGGGAATGACTTTGGTGAAGTGTCACTGCTCTTGGGTCTCTTTTTGGCCCAAAAGTAGACCTATAGAATTGGATCACTTTTTTTTCTTTCCAGTGAAATAAATGGTTTTTCAACATAGGTGTGTGTGCTTTGAGAGAGTTGTTGCTTGGGCTTGTTTGTGTGTTATTTATACCTCAAAGAGAAAGGGATGCTATAAAGTTTAAGATACTCAGTTTGGGGTGAATGACATGGTAATTTTCTTTATTGCAGATAGGACTTCTAGGTGCCAAAGAAATAGGTTATACAGAGGAACTCAGGCAGCCATCTTACTCCAATGAAGACTTCCTTCCACTGTCCACATGTGTTACAAAACCAACTACTTACTAGTATTTTAAGGATACTTACTAGTAGTTTAAAGACGTAGGTTTAAAACTCATGCAGAGCATGTGTGTGGGCGTGCCCAAAATCCCAAGAGAAGAATGCAGGAGCAGGGAATGTGTCATGGCCACCCCCCACGAGGGGGGGTTCCCTTCTGTTAATGTCCAGTGAGCACACATGCCCTATAGCAGAAATCTCTCCCCCAAAAAACTAGTTTGACCTATTTCTAGGGGAGAGGCCACTTTTACTTTTTATGCCCTATGGAATAGTAACAGTGTTTTGCTGTTTCTCCAGACCAGTGACACCTTGTGACCTTGTGGTGCCTTTGACTAGCTTGTCTGTAATCAGAATCCAAAGAGTACCAGATTTGGGAAGCCAGCAGGTGGCATAGTAGTTAAGGCGCTGGACTCTTAATGTGGTTGACAACAGTTTGAGTCCAGACCTGGTGACTTGAAACTCACTCAGGGTATGTATACATACGTGCCTAAAATTCCAAGAGGAGAAGGGATTGGGGTGTGGTCATCCCCACGAGGTAATTTCTTGCTTTCTGTCTCTGTCTCTCTGGTGAGTGAATGTACCCTATAGCAAAAATCACTTAAAAATTAACATTACCAGAAGATTCCACTAGAATCTCATTACTTAGATACTAATAGCTTTTAGACATAGAGAAAGTACTCACCAGTGAGCTTTAGTTTATTGAAGAGGAAGACGCTGAATGTAAGCGAGAGCACTAGCACTTAGATCCATGTTTCTATTTAATAGAACAGGATCTAGTTTGAGGCAGTAAGGAGGGCACAAAGACTTTAAAAGAACCTGTCAGCAACATGAGTTCTGCTAAGACAACTACTTTATGCAAAGTTTATGGAGATCATGCTTCAGGTAACCAGTTTATGGCCCAGGTACTGTGGCACAGTGGTAATAACATGAGTGCGCAACAAGGCTGGAAGCCATAAGACTGACAAAGGGTTTGGATCCCTGGGGCACTCTGAAAACATTAAGCAGAAGTGCTTGGGCTTCTAAGGAATTGGAGTACTGGAGAGAGGATCACATCGAGACCTTGTCAAGGGTATCCTCATACCCATGTGTGCACATGGGCTTTTGTTGAGGATAAATCCATGTGCAAACAGAAAAAAGGGTAAGGTGGGGGACCAGCAGATGGCATAATGGCTATGTCAGTGGACTCCCATGCAGTTTGAGTCCTGGACCTGATGGCTTGAACTCAAGCTGGGCATCTGTGTGGGCATGCCCAAGTACCCGAGAGAATGGCCAAACCCTCCCACCCCCAGGGGTGGTGATTTCTCACTTTCTGTCTCTCTGATGATGAGGGCACACACCCTACAGCAACCCCGCGTCCCCCCACCCACCCCCCCAAAAAAAAGATGGTAGCACACTGGTTCCCATGAGGTTGATTGACTGTATGGTTTGAGTCCCAGACCTGAAGGCTTGGAAAACACTGGGTATGTTCATGCATACCCCAGATCTTGAGGGAATGGAGAAGGGACTGTGTGACCTTGGAGATACTTTTTCATTACTCTGCAGAGGTCAGCAGGTGATGTGGTAGTTAAGGTGCTAGGCTCCCACATGGCTGACTGTAGTTCAAGCCCTGGTCCTGGTGGCTTGAAAATCATGTCAGGCACATGTACATGTGTGCCCAAGATCCCCAGATAAGTGAAGAAAGGGTTGGCCATCTTGGGTGATGTTTCACTTTTCCTCTGTCTCTGGTGAGCACATGTGCCTTACAACAAAAAATACTCAAAAAAAAGTTGTTTTGGGTCTTGCTGTAGGGTGTGTGTGCTCACCAGAGAAAGTCTTTATAAAATATGTAAATACCAATCTCATTCTCCTGTTGGGATTTTTGGCACATACAACTTGCTGGGCATGTTCTTCAAGCTGTCAGGACTGAGACTTAATCATGAAGCTGGCCATGTGAAATCCAGCCACCTTAACCACCATGCCACTGGCTGACCCTTTTATCTTTTTTATTATTTTATGTAGTAGTATTTTTAAGATTGCTATAGGGCATGTGCACTCCCCAGAAAAAAGTGAGAGTGAGAAAGCAAATCATCAGGTCTGGGACTTGAACTGTGATTGGTCAATGTGTAAGTCCAGGACCTCAACCACTGCCACCTGCTGGCCTCATGCATTTTTTATCTTAATTACACAGTCCATTAACTTTGAAATCCCCTTTTAATAGGGTCGTCAGGCCATTCAGGAAAGGTAGATTGTGATGGGAGATAAAGGAGCTGGTCTTTGTTGATTTCTCAGGTTTTTCTACATAATGCTTATACCTGATTGATTTATTCTAATTTGTATACGGCTGAGATATAAACAGATCTGTATTGATACATATAACTTCCTGGATATTTTCTGTGTGTGAGGTATGTATTAGGTGTTTTATGTGTCTTCATTTAATACAGCAAACATTTTTCTGTTAGGTTTTTCCATCCTAGGCTGAGTTTGTTCTTTGCCACTGTCACTTTTCTTGTAGGGTCATGCTTATTTTATTATTATTTTTGGAGAGGTTTTTGCTATAGGGCACGTGCGCTCACCAGAAAGAGAATGCAAGAAATTACTTCCCAGGGGGATGGCCATGCTGCAGTCCCTTCTTTTCCATTCTCTCGGGATCTTGGGCACGCATGCACATGTGCTGGGTGTGAGTTTAAGCCATCGGATACAGGACTCGAACCACAGTTGACTACGTGGGAGTCCAGTGACATAGCCATTATGCCAACTGCTGGTCCCAAGTCATGCTTATTTTTAAAAATTATTATTTAATTTTATTCATTCATTTATTTTAATTTGACCAGAGAAAGACGGAGAGAGGGAAGGGGAGAAAGGAAGCCACCAGGTCCGGGACTCAAACCATGGTTGGCCATGTGGGAGTGTCCACCACCTTAACCACAACGCCACCTGCTAGTCCCCCATGCTTATTTTAAAGAACTATCCCCCTTTATTTTGAAGAACTATCCATTACTGATCCACACGTACTATATCAACATACACATTGATCTGATAAGTGTGGTTGGCAAGTTTTGAAAAGATGGAAACTTCACAGAATTCATTAAAGAGTTTAACTGAGTAATATACTGCAACATGATGTTTTAGGTGCTAGAGTTGTATAGAGAAGTATATATATTTCTGGAGGTTATAGACTAGGGGAGAAATAAAATTATAAAATGTCACGTAGATGTCAAGTAGACAATTCTGTTTCAGTTAAAGATTTTTTAAATTTTCTGTAGGGCATGCACTTGTGGAGAGCGAGAAAACACTTCCCATGGGAGATGATCACACTGCATTCCCTTTTCCATTCTCTTGGAGTTTTGGGGCACAGGTGCACATGTGCCCAATATGTTTGTCAAGCTACCAGGTCCAGGATGCCAACCACACAGCTTATTTATTATTTAATACACATGCGTGCACACATCTACATACAGATGTGTGCACATGCGCTTGTCAGAGAGACAGATGGGAAGATGGCCATGCCACAATCCCTTCTCCATTTTCCTCTTGGGATTTTGGGCATGTATGCACACATGCCTGTGTATGAGTTGTCATTTTTTTTTTTTTATGTGTGCTTGTCAGACAGAGACAGAAAGTGAGAAATCACCCCCAGGGGGGTTGGCCACGCTGCAATCCATTCTCCTCTTGAGATCTTGGGCATGTATGCACACGCGCCCAGTGTGAGTTTTAAGCCACTGGGTCCGGGACGTGAACCACCGTTGACTATGTGCGAGTCCAGCGACATAGCCATTACGCCAACTGCTGCTCCCGCCTGGTATGAGTTTTAAACTGCCAGGTCCAGTACTCAAACTGTGATTGACTATGTGGGAGTCCATCAATATAACCATTACGCCATCTGCTGGTCCCAGATTTAAGCAAATTTCAACTGTAGTAAAACTAAGTTAATGAAAATAAAACTATATTAATAGAACAGCATCATACCTCCTTTTATAAGCAAATTTTGATGAAAGACTGAAATGAGCAGGATGTGGATACATTCTACTTACTACTAACAAACTTTGCTCATGGGGGAAACACCACTGTTGGCTAAAGTAATCATAGTCTCTGGGGGATAGTCTAGGGACAAAATCAATCCTGGTTGTAAATTGGCTTGGAGTACTTTGAGTTGTTTGGAATACCTGTTTCTTGAAGGGACTCAGACTAGAATTTATCCTGCAGAATATGCTGAAGAATCAGTAGTGCTCCTCAGTCAGTGTGCTACAATGCACACAGATGCTGTCTCAGGATTGAACCCACAGGGGCTCACTCTACCTCTGTTAAGGGGGGTGAGAATGACATTTCTCTCCTTTTCCATCTTGTAACACAGTTTATATTTTTAGTGGACAGCAAGTTTGGAGCAGACAGGAGTTTGTTTTTTGTTTTGTTTTTACTTTAAAAAATCTTTTATTGGGTACATTTGAGGTTTACAAAATGTTGAGATAAATACAGCTACAAACAGATTAACAACATTTTTTCATTTGTGTGGTAAAAGAAGCTAAAATCTATTACACAAAACTTACCTATTAATCTATTTTTTCATTTTTTTTGTATCAAATGTTTTTTTTCCCCTGTTCCTCTCCTTCCCTATTACCCACCCCTCTATTATCCAACACCCTGTACTATCTCTAGTATCTACAGTTGCCCTCCCTGCTATGATACCTTCCAATCTTTCCGTTTCTGTTCTTTCCTAAGGTAAATAATCAATTTTTTGTTTCAGTAGATCTTTTTGGATCAACCCCTGGCCTAGTGAATCCCACACA